CATTGCTTCAGGGAACATCCATGCTCCCTTCTCTAGGTCCTGGCTGAAAAGGAAATCTGGCCGTCTCATCAGCCCAGTGCTAAAATGATAAGCCTCAGCCCTTCTGGCCTGGGGCTCATAGAGAGGAAGTCCAGGTACAGTACTTCCATCAACACTACCTCATGTTTCCTTTCCATCTTGAAGTGTGAATGCACTCCATCCCAATCCCAGTCCATTCCCAAGATGACTCTTTTTAATCCAGTTGTAGGGCTCCGCCTTTTGGGGGCTGGAATGATTGCCTGAGAGACAGAAGGACTGCTGTAAGGGAGATTCCTGCCATTAAAGTGACCCTTTCCGGTATGATCGGCATGCACCTTTGCAGCTGCCAGATTGCACCTTTAGCCACCTGTACCTCTGGATCATTTTATATAAGCAGTTATACACTAAAAGTGCTGAAATGTTAGCACTGGCAGGCAGGAGGGGAGGAGTACCTGATTCAGGGCGATGTTATTCTAGCGCCCTAACCTTTTCCTGGGTCTTTATGAATGTTTTGAAAGGTTAGGAGAAAGAGGATTTGGCTAAGATTGGGTGCAGTCCAAGGGCACCTGCCTGCCTTTTGCAGTACGTCAGCACTGGCACACTGCTTGTTGTCAAGCAGAGAGTGGATTTTAGATTATCAGGCATTTTTGTTAGACCCCCCCCCAACGAAATTGTAACAGCTTTTGACTAAATGCTGTAGAGATGATTGATTGAAAGGTGACATGTACTGTAATGGTAAGCCGGACATCCAGAGAATACTGACATGGTCCCTGAGTGGCACCCTGGTGAATTATGCTCAATTTCTACCTTCAGTAGCTGCAGAGTAGGTGGAATCCCACTAGGAAACTTTACAGTATGTCTCGATTGGAAGTCTTGACTTCTCGTGCCTCTAACAAACCACAGGCTAAAACAGATGGGAAGATTATCTTTCTGAGCACAACTGAAAGAATACACCAAACATCATGTAATACTATGCTTCTTTCTCTTTGAGGTCACACACACTGCTTATGAACATAAACTCAGGAATTCTGGCTTATTGTTTGGAAAACACAGCCTGTGGCCCAGTTTTCTGCAGCTTACTTCAGACACACACACACACACACACACACACACACACACACATACACACGCACACGCACACACAGAGAGATATGCAAAAATATGATTTTCATATTGGATTTTTGCTTACTACTTATTAGACTGCAGTTTGAGAACAGAGATAATATAACTGAATTACTGTAACAAATCAATCAAGGATCAAGAATGCTATTCTGGTGATGTGTAGAGAAACTTGAAACCTGCATTTCTGGTATTTGAAGAGGCATCTGACCGTTGATTATTTAATTAGCTGTTAGGTAATCAGTATTACAGCTCTCACCCATTCTTCTGAAAACTTGCTCACTAATTTCTGTTCAAAAACAATAAGGCAGAAGGTGCTTCATTGGTTCAGACTGCTAAAGATCTGGGATGGGTTTTAGAGATTGTCTACTAGAACAAAGCATCATATTTGGTTTGGAGCTCCCCCCCTTTAACTAAAGAAGTCACCCTGTATCAGAAGTATAGGGTGCATGTATGTGCTTTGATCACACAACTGCATTGCACATCAGTGGATTTTCTTATTCATGTAAAAGTCAATACTGTACTAGTAATAAGATTTACATCTATAAAATGATATCAAATTGACATATAAAATTAACTCTCCCATTATAATCAAGTGATAATCAGGTCAGACATTGATACAAAGTAAGTGTGCAATTACACTGAAAAATACTTTAGAGTTTGTTCCAGAACTGGCACAGGAGAATTCGAAATATTTTTCAATGATTACAATACGTAAAGGTCAATGTGAACTCAGCCCATCCTTTTTTCTTTCCCATCCAGACTTTTCCCCTTGCCACAGAGGGCTTCTATTTTTCTCTGCCTGGAATGATTTGAATGTTTTCCCTATGTGACCATTTGTTTTGTTTTACAAAATGATGAGAGGTATGGCATTGTGTGGTTTTCTGGTGATGTAGTGAGTTGGGGTGTGATGTTTTGGGATAGTGGGAACAGCCACCGTGGAGATTTTTTCCTTAGTCACACTAAGTATTTTTGTTTTATTTTTTTAAAATAGTCTAGCACTAGATCGCCATACCACTACATTGCTATATTAGCTTATCATTAGGTCACCTCCTTACAGGCCACATTTTAAAAAATGATGCAAAAGTGAAACAACTTCATCAAACTCCAGCACGCTACAGCATTTCCATGGCATGTGTGTATATTTGTCCGTGCGTGGAGAACTTCGGAAAACTGTCACTTTTCATCTATTGCCATGCAGCGCTTCCAGGCTTGTCCAACCTTGGCCCTCCAGATGTTCTTAGACCACAGCTCCCAGAAGCTCTTACCACCACCTCTGCTGGCCAGGATTTCTGGGAGTTGAAGTCCAAGAACATCTGGAGGGCCAAGGTTGTACAGCAGAGCGTATGATAAAAGGAGAGCTAGGGATCTGGAGGAGGAAAGTATCATGGCATGTGTGTATGTTTGGAGAACTTCGGAAAACTGTCACTTTTCATCTATTGCCATGCAGCCCTTCCAGGCTTGTTCAACCTTGGCCCTCCAGATGTTCTTAGACCACAGCTCCCAGAAGCCTTCTCCACCACGTCTGCTGGCCAGGATTTCTGGGAGTTAAAGTCCAAGAACATCTGGAGGCCCAAGGTTGGACAGCAGAGCGTATGATAAAAGGAGAGCTAGGGATCTGGAGGAGGAAAGTATCAAAGGAAAGAGTGCTGTGGACACAGATTGAGCTGTATCAGTGTGGACACTGACACTGAAACAGCCTGGGGTCTTTGTCTTGTCACCTGAATGCAGTCCTTTAAAAAGACTGCAAACCAAGCCAATGCAAAACGGGATTGCTCTGATTCAGCTTGCCAATGTAGTCACACCCAAAGTGTGTCTACAAATAAGCAGCAGAAATGAAACCACTCTCTGTTTTCATTAAAAGCATGAGCAGAAAAAACCAAGACCCTGAAACGTGGGCTTTTTCCATCACTACCACCTGAAGGACCTTTTCTGTTTACCTACGTAACCTCTGAACATTGGGACAGGTGGAGATGACTGTAATAGGCCGGTTCACATGGGAGCCAGTGGCTGCCACAGGAGCAGCAGCCACAGCACTACGGCTGAAGGACACACTACATGCTTTTCATGCAAGAGGAGTCTCAAGTTTTATCCACGTTTTGAGAGGGCTGGGAAAGACTCTTGGCTGAAACCCTGTATAGCTGCTGGTGGTCAGCTTAAACCATATGGAGTGAGATGGACCAGTTCTCTAACTCAGCATAACACAGCTTCCCGTGTTTCTGGACCTATTCCCAGAAACCACACTGGAATTGAGTAGTGTTTCTAGTTGTTAGCAGTCATGTAGTGGCAAATTGGGAAGTGTAAGCAGGACAACCCCTGTAGCCAACAGCCCCACCCTATACGAAGGAAACCAAGAAGATTATTCCAGTGGCTCTTAAGTATTCATGCAAGACTAAACCACCTTCAGATAATCTGTATTACAACAGAGGTACCTTGCAACAACAGAGAAGCCTGTGGGGGGGATGGCATATAGTATCGTAGTCCTTCCAACTCAGAAAGCTATGGCGCTTTGACCCTGTGAGCCCAGACTCCACTACACAGTTGGTTGTCAGAATGTTCCTTCAGTGTGCGCAAGAACACCTTTCCTGTCCCTGTTGTGAGCAGAATAACTTATACTAGCAAACAAATAGATGCAAATTAGCTTTATCGGCACAGCCAGCACAGATCACAGAATCCAGCTTTGCCAGAGGTAGTATTTGAATCTGCCCATCCTAATTCTCTAGAACAATGCTGGAAGTAAAAATAAATTCCTGAAATGTCAAAGGAAAGGTCCTCTGGAGTATTATTATTTTGGAGACTCATCACCTAACTCAGAGTAACAGTGTGGTGATTTGGAAACATCAAGGGCTGCAGGACCAATTTCGTTGGGGTCTGAAGAGGAAAAGAAGTGAATACCAGGGGGAAGATTATTAACACATCTTTTAAAAACGGTATTAAGAAATAACATAGTTTTTAGGGTGTTGGTGGGAAATATGTGCTATTTCTATAGCCCCCTTCTGTTTTTTCCTCGGGACATCTCTTTTCCTCATCTTCCTAAATTCAATGTTTCTGCCTCACGGGATTGTTGTAGGAATAAATGGCTTGGGGTGTGGGAGCCATGTACTCTGCCTTGAGCTCACTGGAGGGAAAGAGGGATATTATTTAATTATTTAGGCATTTCTTTATTATTTTGCATTTCAGAAATTCCAAAGAAGGTTACCACTAAGGGAGTGAATGAACAAAATTAATTAGGTTTTTTTAATCAACAAAGACTAGACATAGGGAAGAATTAAAAAAGGATTGTGATATTCGTGAAAAATCGTTGACTCGTTAAATATTCATCCATTCATATTCGTCAGTTCCAGAGACCCCGACGAATATGAAAGGACGAATATTTCCCCATTTTTATTTGTCCCCCATAGGGAGAGAGGGAAGGCTAACTTTCCCTCTCTTCCTATGGGTTTCCCATTCTGCCTAAGGACCCGCTGATCCGCTGATTGGTGGGCCAATAGGCACCCAGCCAGCCCAACAGCCTATCCCCACCCCTTCCCCTCCCTCCCTTAGCCGCTGTCACCATCCACCTCCACCTGGTGCCGCCATCATCTACGGCTGCCCGTGGCCACTGCCATCCATCACCACCTTCTGTGGTGACCTCCGCAGCCATGACCTGCCGTTAGGGATACTGGCTGCGCTTTCCAAAGATGGTGACTGGCTTCTTTTAGGGCAGGGAAGTTGCAGCTGCCATCTTTGCAAAGGGCAGTCCAGATTCCCTTAGCCTGCCTTAAGGGAATCCAGGCTGCCCTTTGCAAAGATGGCAGCTGCGGCTTCCCTTAGGCAGGGAAGCTGCAGCCACCGTCTTTGCAAAGGGCAGCCTAGATTCCCTTGAGGCAGGCCATAGCGGCGGAGGCCATTGCAGCAAACAGTGCTGGATGGTGACTGCGGAGGCTGCCATGACACAGGCCTCAGTGGCGGTGGCAGCGCAGACTGCAGCAGCCAAGGTAACAAGGTGACAGGGGTCAGCTTTTTTTTTTTAACAATCTCTGGCAGTCTAATTCCCACCCCCACGTGCTTTGTGCTTCTTCTGTTCATGGGGAGGAGATTCGTACTTCGTCAACTTCGATGGCTCACGAAGCATGACACCTTGCCAAAATGGCGATTCGTCCTCATTTCTAATGACTTCCTTTCGCTGTTGCATGTAAAAATGCTGCAGGATATGTGTGCTGTTCGACTAAAATGAGGGAGAGGGGTATTTGTGCTAGCTTTAGGATTCCAGCCCTCCCTGCCCCTGTCTCTGTTCACATTATCTGACGACTGGCTAAGCACATACCTCAATGCTCATTACCTGAGGCGTCTTTGCTGTATAGTGAAAGCAACATGGGCCAAGGAGGAACACCAATCTCCTTTCTTGTGGCATTGTTGCCAAGAGAGTTACTGTGAGGTGGGGGGTCACACAGTACCATTTTCACAGAAGGGCTACTGAGAACGGGAAGGGAGGAAGCTGGCGTCTGCAAAGCAAGCGCTCTACCTGAAGGCCAAAGCAACTGGAAATAACTTCCCAAACAGTTGGCATGGATGAAGTATGGCAGTCCCATACCTGCACTGCAAGCTGCTCAGGAAGTTTATTCCCGGCGGGAAGCCACAACCACACAGAAAAGGTTGTTTACAAACATGGCCTCTATTTGGAGTACCACCAACATATATTCTCTCTCTCTCACACACACACACACACATGCACACACACACACACAGTAGCATTCAGATGGTGTTCTGTAGCATTATATCAGAATGAGTTCTGAGGGGAAAATATTAATTAAAGACCATTTATTATTTTGGTGTTTTTGTTATTGTGCTGGAAAATAATGGAAGACATATAAGAAACTGCCAGCCAGGGCAGTAGTTGAAAGAGACTGCATTCTGTGAAGATTTACTGAAGATGGATGTAGGGGAAGATAGGTTGATGGCAACCGGGGAAGAGAACTGTCGTGCCATATAAAGCCATCTTTCTCACAACAGTGGTAGTTATTCTGTGCTAGTTTCTCTGTGCTAGGCTGCTATCAGGCTTCTGTTATTAACAGATGGGCCTCCGATCCTAGCCAAGGTCGCCTCCCGTTCTTAGCTGGGAGGCTAAAGCATCGAGAGAATGAGAGAGAAAGAGACTGACTGATCTGCAATGCAGAAGGTCCATAGTAGATGTGAGAACCACCATGTGGTTATTGAATGTGCTATAGAGAAAAATTGCATGTTCGTGCTGGTCTTATTAGAAACTCGTAAGTTTTCGAACAGATCACAGCGGCTTGTAGTTCTTTAGCTATTATAGCGAGATATGGATGTCTTTCCCTGAGATTGTAATGGCGTTACTACTGTGTCACTGATTGCATGAAACCTGCTTCCTTGGTTGACAGCAATTTGGGAATGTGTTGAGGGGCAGGGTGTGACTTGAAAATGTTTTAGGGACTGGAAGGAAAGCACTTGAAAAAGCACGATGGTTTAACAGTCCGTATCCCATGTTCTGTATTTCAGTAATATTTGTGTGGCAGAAAAAACAAAGTTGACTGTCAGCTTCAAACCCAGTGTCCACTGTAGTAATAATAGATAATATTCAAAATTAAAATTAATTGTTGTTATTGTTCATTATTTAGTCATCAGTGAGCATACTGTGTTGTAAAGAAGCAAAAGCAGAGCTCATTTTACAGATTTATTAGAATGCTGTCTCTCGGAAGATGCAAAACTGTTAGATGTTTGTAAGCATTGCAGAAATGGAAGTTGTCCTTTTCCAGAAACCAAGAACAAAATCATAGACATCATGCTACCAGTTGTTTGAGAGGATATTAGTACTAAACAGAAATGCTTCCGATATCCCATGTTTCTATATATAAAGGCTTCTAGAAGATTAGAGATAAAAACAACTGATTTCATTTTGAATTGAAAACATGGCTTTACTATGATATGCGAAAATGGCAGAGATTATGAACTTTGGTTATGCTTAATGACCATCATCACTTCCTGACCCTTAGCTGATATGGAAGGCATTTGAAGAAAACAATCCTGACCCACCTAAGTTGTTAAGCTGAGGTCATGAGGGGGTGTTATGAGTGGCAGAAAAGGAGTGCAATACATGGCGCACTTTGCCTGACTTGGCTTCTTGATCCCTATGGTGTGGAATAAGCATGTGCTTGTTCGTAAACACAAAAATAATAGTGACATCTTAATTAAGGCAACATTTCTGGCATTTACAATCCATGGGTAATTCCCATTGGGATACACAATACAGGAAGAGATTTCACAACTTTGCACTCTGTGACTTAAGACATCTAGAAGGGCATCTGGAAATATATTTTCAGTGGGTACTTCAGGGTACAATCCTGTTGTCTCTGAGACTCAACAAACTCCCAGCCTTTTTGAATATATTCCTATTTTTTTGTAAGGTGGTACTAGCTGGGCAGAGAATTTATAGCCAAGTTTGGAGCATTAATTTTTGTTTCCAGACTGAGATGAGTAGATTTAGAATTTTAGGGTTTAATTCTGTGGAATGTTTAGCACACAGAAACATGGACCTGAAGAGAGAGAGAGAGAGAGAGACTTTGATTTTCAGTGTGTGTCAATCTTGCCACAGCCTTTGGTCTAAAGTGAGTTGAAAAGCAAAAGAAACTCATTCACTGATAAATATCAAATTTATTTCTGTTCTTGCAGGCCTTTGGAGCGTTCCAGTGAAGATATAGATATCATATTCACCCGCCTCAAAGAAGTGAAAGCTTTTGAAAAATTTCATCCAAATCTTCTCCAGCAAATATGTCTCTGTGGTTATTATGAACACTTGGAAAAGGGAATTACATGTAAGGATTTCTTCTTTTATTGTGTATGAAAATCTGCAAGAGTAAACCAGGAATCAGATCAGATGGCCTTTAAAAAAAACATTAGCTGATTAAATGTTTATCAAGTAATGAATACAGTGAACAATGATTGTTGATTTACCATATTATCTGTCATTTGAATATTCTGGGTTTCGTCCATTCCTCCTGCACCACTATTCTGTATCTGTTTGGCATTTTTCATTTTAGTGAGATATGCTTTTTAAAAATGATTTTACAATGGACAGATCATGCCCTAGTATCCTTGCCCAGAAGTCTTGGCACTAAGGAAAAGAAATTGACAAATTCTGGTTAAGTGGGGTAGAGATGGGCTTGAACTGGTTCGTCCCAGTTCGTAAGCCAGTAGCATGGTGCTGCTGCTCCCCCCCCCACCTCCTCTGGCTCAATCAGCCACTCAGCAGACCTAGCGTGCTTGTTTTTTTCCACCACCTCGGCTCACCTCCCAGTCAGCAGCAAGAGTACAAAGACTTCTCTGCTGTGCCCCTTTTTGCCTGAGTGGGAGATCAGCCACGAGGGGAGGGGCAGAGAAGCCTGAGCTCTTGCCGGGACTGGGAGATCAGTGCCGGGCCGGCTGCTGATTGAGCCAGAAGAGGCAGGGAAGGAGAGCACCACCACCTGTGCTGCCACTTGTACGAACTGGGACAAACCAATTTGTGACCATCTCTACTCTAGAGCTTGGAGAAGTTACTTATTTGGCCTATAAGTCC